GGGCCTGTTGCTGAGGCACGTTGAGATCGGGAGTCCGAGGTCGTTCGGCCCGCGGGCGCATGTGGTCATCCTCTTCTTGAATCGTCGGTTGCGCACCGTGCATGGTCAAATTATTGGCAGAGCTCTCTTGCCGGCCCAGGTATGATGGAGTAGACTGAAAGCCTGGGTGATATGGGTCTGGTGAGCCACCGTAATTGTTCGTCGACGTAGAGTTTTGGTACGCCGCTGGAGGTGTGTAGGTAGTCGTGTAGTGATCAGCGAAGGGATTCTCTTCTTGCGCGCTCGGTTGAGTGCGGCCTGGTGCAGCTTGCAGTGACGGAGGAAGAGAGCTGCTGTCATTGCCGTGGTTGGTAGGCGGTGCGCTGGGTCCTGTCGTTCCGAAATCCATAGGGGCCAGCGAAGGCGCGTCGTTGCGTGGTGGGAGATTCGACAGCCCGGGAGACTGCGCAGGCACACCAGCTGGACTACTGGTGCCGTTGGGTGGTGGCGCGTAGGCTCCGTTCTGTACTGGTGGAGAGGGTGAGGCACCCATGAATTTACGAGCTTGAAGGATGGCGCGCTGGTGCTTGGAGGCAGCGAGGGACAGCTGCTCGTTGGTTTCGATGAGAGTGAGCATAGTGTCATCGTCAGGCGCCGGATTGTCGCAGGCGATGTAGCCATGTATACTGCGCTGGGCGGCCGTGCAGCGCTCAGCGAACTCCTTGACCAAGTCGTTGCCGAGCAGTTCATTCGCTGGTGTAGACTGTACGAGCTGCAGGAGGAGCTTGGCCGATGTACGCGCTTCCTCGATGCGCCCCGCGAGCTCCACAGGTGGCGGCAACGATTTGGAAGACGACTTGTGTCCGCCTGAACCGAAGCCACCGTGTATGTTCTGTGACCCCGACCAGCCTGGCGCATTGAGCTTCCGGGGGCCAAACTGCTTTGCCGCGGCTGCCATGAGGCCCTTCTCCTTCCTGTACATGGCGAAGAGCGTGTTCAGGTTGGTGTCGTATGCCTTCTCGCGCTCCATTGAATCCAGCGTCTCCTTGACGATTTGCGCAACGCTCGGGTCTTGCCCATGGCGAAGTAGGTGCTTGACTGTGTCGGCGAATTGCTTGTCGAGGTTCTTGGTGAAGGAGGGCCCTGGGTTGTCGGCCAGGATCCTAATGAGCATGACAGAATTGTACTGGACATGAGGGCGGTTGAAGTTCTCTTTGGAGAGGAAGATGCGGATCTGTCTGGCGGCGGCTGCGGCTGCGCTGGGGCTTGCGACGGCGGACTCGACAATGGTAGGCAAGTGGAGGACCTCTTCACCCTGGGCATGTTAGTTGGCGTGTGGATGTTATAGGTTGCCAAACATACCGAGTTGGCGGCACCAGACTCGCAGAAGAGCATCTACTCGCTGTCAGCTTGGTGGATGCGACGAAGCGGTATGACCTACCACTCCCTTGGTAGCATTGGCCTCGGGCGTATCGGCGTTTGTATCGATATTGACATCCTGGGCTGCGTGCGCTGTCAATGTTAGGGTGAAATGAATAAAACGAGGAGATGCGACGCACAGGATCGTTTGCGCATCAAACTGCCCAACTTGAGGCGCTTCTTGAGGTCCATATCTGCCTTGGTAGCGGGGCCGTTCCGCAACGTAAAACGGTCGCAAGGGTATTTGAGGGCAGCTGCGCAAAAAGAAAGCACAGAAGCGCAGAGAGGCCAGAGTCGCGAGGCCGGGGCGTAAGCGTAAAGGAGGCAGATGCAGTACTATCGAGGTGTTGATCGAGGCCTCCAACGCGCCTTCCTCGCGCGGACGGACGGTTACCTAGGTAGGGCTGCGCCTCTTGTCGCCAAGCCATGACAGACTCGCGAAGCACGACGGCCGACGTAAACAGCCGCGTATAACGTGTGGCGACGCTGCACCCATCTCAGTGCTGTTCTCCCATCAACTCCTCTCGTTTGGCACATCTACGCGTCCTGGATGGCGTAGGCTGTGCCAAGACCTGCCATCGGCCTTTACCTGCAGACCCCACTGGCCCGTAGTCTGCGTTAATCGGACCCTTTCCGTTCATCCACCTTGGGGCCATCGCAGAATACGTCGACACTGTAGCACATGACCGGGTTCCTAGCCTGTGGCACCGCCGCGTGATACCATATCGCGCTTATTCGACGGGCGACACCAAGATGAGGAGGCCAAAGGCGGTAGAACACAGAACCAAACCAGGGCAGCGATGACAATAATTTCCTTTGTCGCCGAGCGAGGTATGACGGTGACCAGTTTGAGCACAGTACCGATATAGCCGTTCCAACGCGACTGTATGCTGCAAGATACGTCAACATCACGTCGCAGCATGACTCTTCAGTAGCACCCGATTCCACCTCGTCCTTGACAAAGTCTGGCACAGCCAAGCATGGCTTTCATCAACCGACACTGTCACCGATACCCCATCTGAGTGCAAGAGTATTGACCGTCACGCGTACCTGCAGATATCAAGACTCACACCCGTGAACTGACTGACCCAAGATCGCTTGATTGGTTACGTCACTCCGCTAGCATTGGCACGACGAGAGGCACCCATTTGCTGCAGCCTGCTGCGACTGCACTACTCCGCTGTTAGTGCTGGAGGCTGCGACTACTTTCAAAGTATCGCGGAGTGCTTTGCTTCGTCTGGCGTTGGCGTGTTGCTAGACCCTCACATTATTCTCCGCCTGCAGTGTCGCTACCTGCACCTGCAACACAAGCTGAAAGACGAAGAGGCTCGTTTGGATCCATTTGTACTTTGGAGCATGCCCCAGGTACAACAGTACCCATTCTGGAAGACTCGTAAATCAAACAACTACCTTTACCCTGAGGGTGCAATATCGAGAAGAGGTCCAGGTAGAAGGCAACATTTCCTGTGAAGTCACAAATAGCTTGCGATTCATCATCTCGCTCAGCTGCTGAGTTGTCACTTCTAACTCGAGGCGATACGCCGACAAGGTTCAAGGATCGGCGCGCTCGGCAAGCGATCATTCCTACAGGATGCGGAGCCATGGCTTGGCTAAACGTCATCCCTCATGCACACTGGGCCCATTCCTGAGACACCGCAACAGCCACTCGTCAAGTCCTGGTCAAGTGCCAGGCACAAAGTATATGACCTCGACCATGGCCCTCGCCTCCCTTTGTCCCGTGCAATACACCCACCTCCTGACCTCACCAACCCACCAGGCACCCGCGCCTTTGTCTAACATTATCATCATACAAAATGGCTCCCGAATCCGCTTCCGCCATGGCTGGCCGTGCTCGAATGCGCACCGAAGAAACCGAACAAGACCGCATCACCAGAGAAAACTCAGGCTTCGCCGCATTTGAAGCAGACATGCCCAAACTCACCAGCCGTTTCAGCTTCTCCCTCAAGGACAACCTTTCCTCATATTTTGGTCGCAAGAACCCTTTCTACAACAACGTCAACCCCGAGACCGATTATGTATGGATCTTGGACACTACCGCATATCAGAATCGCCTAGGAAGGTGGAACGCCGAGTTCGTCGCTGCCTACTTCGTCAAGAACAGTGGCAAGGATCTCTCCAAGATCGTCGCATGGGTCAGTGAGAAGATCGGCTTAGCAGACGACGAGCAAGCCAGGGCAACCGTCGCACAGAGGCTCCAGCCATTTGCAGACCAGATCCTCCCCGCACATGCCGTCCAAATTGACCTTCTGGGCATCAACACCAGATTGGGTCCCAGCGGACGCGACGGCATCAGCTCCGATGTCTTGGCTATTCCAGGGAACGACTACAAGGAAGGCCAAGTCAACAAGTTCAAGGCCGTCAACGCTGATGCGACGCCATTCAACATCACTTTCGCCAAACCCAAGGGCTGGGCCATCCTTTCCGACGTGGACGACACTATCAAGAAGACTTTAACATCGTCACCCGTCGGCATCTTGACCACCACCTTCGCCGAAGAGCCAGAGCCCATCAAGGGTATGCCAGAACTGTACAGGCACATTGTACAAAAGCTCGACAACCCGCCCTTCTGGTATCTTTCAGCGTCACCTTACAACCTCTACCCGTTCCTGCGCAAGTTCCGCGAGCAATACTACCCCAACGGCACCATGATTCTACGCGATGCCAGCTGGATGAACCTTGCTGGCTTCCTCGCAAACTTGACTCAGGGCACTGAAGCCTACAAGGTTGATCGCATCGAGAAGGTCCACGGATGGTTCCCCAAGCGCAAGTTCATCCTCATCGGTGACTCCACGCAAACAGATCCCGAATCTTATGGTGAAGCTTACCGCAAGTTTGGCAAAAACTGGATCGGCGCCATTTACATCAGGAAAGTCACGGGTGTAGCGGAGATGGACGAGGGTAGGAAGAACGACCCGGAGCGATTCGAGAAGGCGTTCAAGGGTGTACCGAAAGATATCTGGTACATCTTTGAGGATGCGCAGGAGCTGTATGCGAAGATTGATACTTTGCCTAAGATTGAGTAAGAGTTGGATGTCCATTTTATGAATGTTATGGGTCACGAAGGAGTTCATCTTGGGCGAGCTTCTTCGTATGGTTCGGAATGGGTGTGGCTATTGCTCTTCCGATGCTTTTGTTTTACGCGAAGTCATACCAATGGGTCAATTTCGACACATGCAGGAGAACATGCAGGAGTACGGCGTCCCGCTGATTGTTTACTTTACATAGCCAAGCAACACGATACCCAATTCTTTGTTTCATCGCCAACTTTCCTATGCTTTCCTGTTCCTTGGGTTCCCTTACTTTACACGGCACACACTGACACTGAGGACGATCGAAACGAAAGGGTATCGTTTGTTCTTGCCTATTTATCGACTTGACTAATGCTGGCAAGCAGTACTGTGAAGAAATTACAGCATTCAATCTCGAATTCAGATGCACATCATTCACATTGCCACAGTACTGAAGGCTCGAAAACATGTCACCGCACCTGCAACCTCAGCAATGGCAATCTGGACTTGTACACAATCCCGCCGCTCAAAGTCCACAGTGCGACTACATTCTTATCTATCCAGCTGCTCGACATGGCAGCAGGCCCGCTACACCTGCAACAACCCGGACCGATACCCCTATACGTTCTTCTCGTTCTCGTTATCGGAATTTGCTGCTACTTCTTCTTCATAGGCACTGCCGCAGTACGGCTTTGGTTCTACAAAGGCGCCCTCGGCCCCGCTCCAGAGAAGTTCATCGTGATCAGGAACGAAACTCAAGAAGACGACCACCATGCGGCGCCGATCCACAGTAAAGACAACGAGCACGGTACAATCGCTGAAACCCTAAGGAAGCGGCGCATGACCGTCTTCACCCACGACTCGTTATCAGCGCCGACAGAAACCATAGCACACAGCACCGCGTTCTCCCCCCGAAACCTCTCCACCGCCACAACAACAGTCAACCTCCAAGACATCTCAGACATCTCAGACCTAGACTCGTTCACCAACCCGCAAACGCGAGCCTACCTAGCCGAAGAACGCCGCATCTCGCGCATGCCCGCCTTCGACGCCGACGACTGCGGAACAGGCGACTACTTCCCAGACATACCCCTTACAAACCGGCCCATCGAGTCCACATCCCTCCATTCCAACACCCTCACTGCCTCCCATCTAGGTCTCACACCCACACCCCGCAGCAACTGGCTCACCATCTCCCCCCAATACATCGAATACCACGCCGCGCGCACCCACCTCCTCTTGCGCAACCGCTCCTCCTGCATCCACGTCACCTCGGAGGGCGAACGAGCATGTCGCGAACTACTGCAGGAAGTCACGTCTTTCCTCGTGGACATGTATCCGCACCAATTCCGTTTCCTGACGAAGGCGCGCAGGAAGCATGTGCTGAACGAGCTTACAAGAGAGGATTTCGAAATAGAACACGGGTTGGAATGTCATCCGTTGGAGGTGTGTGCGCGGTTATGTGCGGAGGATTTCATGGTTTGGGGCAGGAGTGAGAGTACGTTGAATTGGTATTTACAGGCTGCTACGACGCTGTTTCCGAGCGGGTATGTTGTAAGTCCGTATATGGGGAAGACGGTTGATGTGGTGGTGGGTGGGGAGGGGATGGGGAAACCACCGATGATACCTTGGTCTGGTGAGTTGCGATTCTCTCTTCTTTCCTAAGCAGTCGCGCAACGCAAGCTAATAACCCCCTCACAGACCTCCCCTCAATCCTCAAACTCACCCTCCCAACCCTCTCCCCCTACTCCTCCACCGGCCCCCTATCCCACACGCAAACCTTCATCCAAACCCGGCCCCTCCGCGCCACTCTAGCTTCAACCCTCCACATCCCACGCCCCATGGACTTTTTCGCCGGCCACATAGCTGATCTGCATCCCTCTGAATTGCTCGTGCGTACTGAAACGCAGATGTATGCGCGGTTACCCAAATCAGGTGCTGTCATTGTGACCACTCGGACAAACACCGAGACGCTGAGTGAGATGAAAGATAGAATGACGATGCGGGAGAAAGAGGCGTTTTTGAGGGAGATTGGGGAGTGGGGAGAGGAGGAGGCGAGGGTTAAAGGGAGGGATTTGTGGATTGGGGTTGTGGAACGGTGTTTGAAAGGTTAGTTATTCCTCAGTTGGGATTGTTGGTTGAACAGAGTAGGCTGACGAATTTGTGGACAGGGCAGAAAGCGTTTAGGGACGATGTAACGGTTTATAGTAGGTTGTCGGTGATGGGAGGGATTAAAGGCTGAGGCGGATAAGGTGGGCGTCGCTTGAAGCTTGAGGCAATGGGCTGTTGAGTATGATATCGCACCAGCGGTAGTCGTATGAGGACGTGTGACTATGTAACTTATCCTAGAGACGACGTACATTCCAAACCAATCACAAAACACAATTACAAAACCTCATCGCTATTTCTGATTTCTGCAAGTAGCGAGGTGGCTTTGTATGACAAGCCGCCTCAGTGGTGCAAATCCTAAATCGCTACCACACAACGTCCGCAACAGTGGAGTACGAAAAAAACATTTCCTCGCGCACAAAAGTCCAGATTGGACACTCTTCAGACACTGCATCTTACACAAACGAAAAAAGATGGCGTACGCAAACCCCTCCAGCTCCTTCATCACGATAGCAGCAACATCCGCCCTCTGGCTGACAGAACACCCGAAATCGAACCTCACGAACATATCCTTCGCACTCACACCCAGCATGTCCATTCAAACATCCATATCCATATCCCACTCCGCACTACCACCACCCTCAACCTCAACCTCAACCTCAACCTCAACCTCAACCTCAACCTCAACCTAAACCTCAACCT